TCTTCGAAGAGCTTATATAAGCGAAGGTGTTCCTGTAGCCGTAGCTGACGCCTACGCCGCTAAAACCACAGTAAAAGCCTTAACAAAGAACGCCGCGTCCGAAAAAGCAAAAATAATTATGGAGGCAGGAAACTTCCAAACAAGTCAGGATGCTATTACCAAGTTTATTAACATTTCCAATAATGCAGCTAATGCTGAAAATGGTGCAACAATTTTATATGCAAATGGAGCTAGGTCAAATGCGTACAGAGGATACCAGCATCGTGGATACTATCGTGGAAATGGACAGCATCCCCGTGGAAATAGTTATAGGGGTAGACAAGTTGATAGAGCACGAGGAGAATATCGCAGAAGATATAATCAGAGAGGAAGAGGCAACCGTTATATTAGAGCGTACGCTGCTGAACAGGAGCAGGGAAACTTACAAGATCCCCAATTGGGTCCATTGGGGGAATTTTAAAAGTGTACAATTTGGACCTATCACTTTCAAATTTTATTGCTGTACAAACTGACATGACAAAAAACGAAACAGTAATTCTTTTAGTAGATACCGGTGCTGACATTTCTTTATTCAAAAGGACAAAAATAAATCCGAAGCAAATCCTCAACAGATCCGAAGCTAGTAAAATTAAAGGCGTTACGAATGGTTGTACCAACTCGTTAGGAACAACTGAAACGTACATTCATGTAAATAATTTTAAAATACAACACAGTTTTCACGTCGTTGCTGAAGATTTCCCCATCCCAACAGATGGAATTTTAGGTAGAGATTTTATTTCTACTTACCAATGTCGGTTAGATTACTCTGATTGGACTATGACCCTAAGATCAAAAGGGGAAGAAACAACATTACCAATCTATAATAGTCCCGAAGAAGACATGTTAATCATCCCACCTCGTTGTGAAGTAATCCGCAAAATAACCAATTTTAAAAATACTAAAGAAGATGCCGTAATTTTGAATGAAGAAATAGCAAAAGGAGTTTTTATAGCCGGAAGCATCGTATCCCATAAAGAACCGTTTGTTAAGATACTAAATACAACATTTGAAAGTGTTACGATTAGAAACAGCAACATTAAGAAGTCAAAATTAAGTGAATTTAACATATATACAACAGAAATCAACAATTCAAATAGAGAAAAATGTCTGTTGCAAGAACTTAATAAAAATATTCCTCCGATGGTAAAAGATGATGTCGTAAAATTATGTACAGAATTTTCAGATGTATTCGGATTAAAGATCGATAAGCTTACTACAAATAATTTCTACAAACAAAAAATTAGACTAATAAATGAGAGACCAGTTTATATCAAGAATTACCGCATTCCACATGCGCAAAGTGCCGAAATTAATAAGCAAGTTAGTAAAATGTTAGGAGATGGAATCATCGAAACATCAATGGCAGAATACAACAGCCCTATCCTTTTGGTTCCTAAAAAATCTACAAATGAAGAGAAGAAATGGCGATTAGTAATCGATTACAGGCAATTAAATAAAAACTTAATAGCAGATAAATTTCCTTTGCCTAGAATAGATGATATCCTAGATCAGTTGGGAAGAGCTAAATGGTTTTCAGTACTAGACTTAAAAGCGGGTTTTCACCAAATAGCACTAGAAGAATCTTCAAGAGATGTAACTACTTTCAGCACATCATCAGGATCTTATAGATTTACCCGATTACCATTCGGTCTAAAGGTTAGTCCAAACAGCTTTCAAAGAATGATGTCCATAGCATTTTCTGGTATAACACCGGAAAAGGCATTTTTGTATATGGATGATTTGATAGTAATTGGTTGTTCAACAGCTCATCATTTACAAAACCTAAAAAACGTATTTGAAACATGTAGAAAGTACAATCTCAAATTAAATCCCGAAAAATGCAGATTCTTTCAGAATGAGGTAACTTACCTAGGACACAGAATAACTAATTGTGGTATTTTGCCAGACGATTCGAAATACGACACGATTACAAATTATCCAATTCCCAACAACGCTGATGCAGTAAAACGGTTTGTTGCCTTTTGCAACTATTATCGCAGATTTATTCCTAACTTTGCAGAATTATGTAAACCATTAAATAAACTAACAAGAAAAAATATTCAATTTCACTGGTCCGAAGATTGCCAACAATCGTTTAAAAAACTTAAAAATGCTCTCGTGGAACCTAAAATACTTAAGTACCCAGATTTCAAGAAACAATTTATCCTAACTACTGATGCCTCAAAAGAAGCGTGTGGCGCTATACTCTCTCAAAATTTTAACGGTCAAGATTTACCAATAGCCTATGCATCAAAATCATTTACAAAGGGTGAAATAAATAAAGCTACCATTGAAAAGGAATTAGCAGCCATTCATTGGGCCATAAAACATTTCAGACCTTATCTCTACGGACAAAAATTTTTAGTAAAATCTGACCATAAACCGTTGGTTTACCTATTTGCCATGAAAAACCCATCTTCAAAGTTGACTAGAATGCGTTTAGATCTTGAGGAATATGATTTTGAAATCGAATATATTAAAGGAAAAGACAACGTAAGCGCGGACGCTTTATCTCGGATAACCATCGACAATTTAAAAGAAATTCTTGTTCAAACGCCCAAAGTTCTAGCTGTTACTAGATCGATGGCAGCTAAAAGACATACATCAACATTACCGGAAGAGAATAAACCTAATGAAGACACCCCTAGAGTACACGAGTCTTTAGATAATTATGACATAATCAAATACCCAACTTTAAAATTTGAAATTAAGCCGAAGTATATAAGAATACATTTGGAAAATAAAAATAAATTTAGCGCTACTCGTGAAATTTTGATTGCTAATGATAATGTTTCTCTAGAAAAACTATTGTCTCAGCTAGAATCAATGGCTAGTGATCACAATTTCCTAAACTTAAAACTAAAAATGAATGATCAAATTTTTACATTGTGCACGGTAAACAAATTAAAAGAAATTGGCCAAGCTATACTTAAGAAAATTAATATAGCAATATATAGGGACCCTAAAATAATCAAGAATGTAGAAGAAAAGCAGGCATTGATAAAAAAGCTACATGATGATCCTCTTACCGGAGGACACTGTGGACAGAAAAAACTATTGAAAAAGTTAAGAGCAAAATACAGGTGGAAAGGAATGTCACGTGATGTAGCCACATATGTAAAAACGTGTGCTAAATGTCAGCAAAACAAAATAAAAATTGGACATATAGAGCCAATGGTACTCACTCCAACACCACAAAGAGCCTTTGACATAACCTGTATTGACACAATTGGTCCATTTGCGAGAACAGAAAGAAATAACGCTTATGCTGTAACGATACAGTGTGAATTAACAAAGTATGTAGTAATCATACCAGTCCCTAATAAAGAAGCAGTGACAATCGCAAAAGCCATAGTGGATGATTTTATTTTGGTCTATGGGCCTATGAAAGAAATTAGACCTGACATGGGAACTGAATACAAAAATGAAGTCCTTACAAATCTTTCTAAGCTTTTAAATATAAGTCATAAAATTTCCACAGCCTATCATAGTCAAACAATAGGCGGTTGCGAGAGAAACCACAGAGTATTAAATGAATATATTAGAATGTACACCAACAAGACACACACTGACTGGGATGAATGGTTGAAATACTACAGCTTTTGTTACAATACTACACCATTTACGTACCATAGCTACACACCCTTCGAACTAATCTTTGGAAAAAAAGTAGATATAAACGAATCCTTTACAGATAATACCATTGATCCTTTATATAATATTGATGCATATTATCAAGAAGTGCGATTTAGATTGCAAACAGCGTATAAACGAGCTGGAGCTTTTCTCGAAAAAGTCAAGATCAATCGCAAATATGATTATGATAGGAGAAGTAAAAAACTTATCCTTAAACCAGGTGATACAGTTATGTTAAAAATTGAAAATAGAAACAAATTTGATCCCTGGTATAAAGGACCATACTCTGTAATTAGCTGTAAGGGTGTAAACTGTGAAGTGAGTGACGAAAACGGTAAAATAGTGACTGTACATAAAAACAGAGTGCAACTATTTAATAAAACTGATACAATTGTGTCGGCAAAATTGTAAACTTATTGTATTATTAACCGATATGTTTAATTTTATTGTCTAGATTTAAGATAAGCATAAGAAGTGCAATATTACCTTGTATTGTATTTTCAAAAAAAAAAAGGGAAGGAAATATTGGACTTATTATGTATTAAGATTTTATTTAGGGCTTATAGGTTAAAATAGAATAGTTAAATTAAGTAGGTATAATTAATTAGGATTAGACCTCCAATGACATCGACTTTTTGAATGTCCTTCATTTATGCGCAGAATGAAGAACATTCTTTTGAAAAGGGAGATGTAGTGCAACGTCATTGGTAAATACTATTTAATTATTGTTACGTGGCAATTGCTGAGTTGTCAATATGTATTAATTAAAACAGCTATTGTTAATTGTGGACAGAAGCAAGATATGAGTTAATATAGAAGGTTGTAAAAGTATTTACGAGTATAATTCAAAGTGCCCTAAGTCCCAACATTACAGCATTAATTTACGATTCAACGATTTGTTTCTATTTTTATAACTAACTAAAATGGTTTATTAAGTTTAGAAATTCAAAACTGGAGTTTTATAAAAGTTTGGTATCTACCACAATAATTAAACTTACCTTGTTTAAAACTGTCAAACTTTATGATCGGATGAGACCCCGATAAGAAAGGTATGGCAATTGATCATAGATGTCGCTCAAATTTGTTGCCAATTTCTTTTTAAAAGCTGGGCCCTCGTGAGTAACGTCAAACTTACAATTTGCATTGTATCATGTCAATTTTGTAATTAAGATAAATTCATACAAAATCATACAAAATGTCCCGATTTTTTTACAGAACCTGGTAACCCTGATTATATTGCATAGACGAAAAAAAAAATATATTGATACATATGTATGTATCATATCAATATAATAACTAGAAAACTTTTTATTTGTAAATTTCAGTGTGGTGATATGGAATATCGTGATAGTAACAGCAGCAGTGTTGGCTTGGAGTCGTCCACGAACTCCGAAGAAGTAACACTCGACGCAACACCGCCAGATACGAGAAAGAAGACTGATGAAGTGGCAAAATCTTCGCCGCCAGCGTTCGACGGCTGGTCCGCTAACACGAGGACGGGGACGCCACCGCCACCAACGACGATGACGGAGGTGGTGGAAAGGCGTCCGCCTTCGGATGCCAGCGTGCGGACACCGGAAAAAGGCGGTGGAGGACTGAAGTTGACTCTGCGCATGAAGAGGAGCCCCGTGCTGGACGAGGTGATCGAGTCCGGTACAAGTCTGGGCGAGGAGTGTTACGAGCGCGAGTACGAAGTGCTACGACTTGAAGGTAGGAGAAAAATAATTAGATGGTTTTTATTTTTTATGACATTTGCAATATTAAATGATTTCAATCGGATAATTTTATTGATACAATTTTTTATCGCATTTTTAAAATCTACGCAATCGAGTTTGTTATTAAATTTTTTCCAAAGTTTATCAAACAATTTTTAAGACGCTAGAGCGTTTTAAAAACCTCAAGATTCAAAAGGCTTTGATGACCTTATAACAGATTTGTCAAAAAATACGAATAAATCCAAAATCTGTTTGTTATTAAATTTTTTCAAAAGTTTATCAAACAATTTTTAAGACGCTAGAGCGTTTTAAAAACTTCAAGATTCAAAAGGCTTTGATGACCTTATAACAGATTTGTCAAAAAATACGAATAAATCCAAAATCTGTTTTAGTGCGGTTTCTAGGTTATTTTCAATATTCTTTAATAACAGATTTGTCAAAAAATACGAATAAATCCAAAATCTGTTTTAGTGCGGTTTCTAGGTTATTTTCAATATTCTTTAATGTAAATCATTGTAAATCAGAGTAATTTTTTTATTTACATCTAAGAGAGATTAATAGGTTTTCATCGATCGATGATCGGTATACTCGAGTCAGGCATATGTTTTAATCTGAGGAATATTTAAACGCCTTAATAGTATATTACACTACAAGGGCAGAAAGTGTGAGATTCCTGCACTGCGCGCCATGATGCCCGAGGCGAAGCCGAGGGCATCATGTCGCGCAGTTCAGGGCTCTCACACTTTCTGCCCGTGTAGTGTATACTATTTTTCTTGCTACCCCCGCAGAAAATACGGGAAAAAATTAAATGTATATAAAAAAACTTGTGTCAAAATTAAAATCTGACGTTTAATTTAATTCTGACGTTTACATTCAAAATCAATCAAACTGTAGCGTTGTCATGGTAATTCAGCGGTGCCAATACAGTAAAAATAAAAGGTTGTATTTTAATTAACAAATTACTACTTTATAACAAATAAAAGTACCATTAAACACTTAAAACAACATAAAAAGTAAAAAAGTAAAAACATAAATTGTTTATTTGTTGTTATAATTGCAAAATTATGGTTTAAAACTGTCATATTTTTGTGTTTCTCATGTTGGCAGTACGAAATTTGAATGTTAAGCACACGACTAAAAAATTTTTACTCCCGCTATTAGAGTGTGCGCGTATAGCTTGACCAATGCAAGAAACGTAAACTTTCTGCCGTGAAATCGGGGACGAAACAACGTATTTTGAGTCGAGGTAGTAAGAAAAATACTTTTTCTTACTACCTCGACTCAAAATACGTTGTTTCGTCCCCGATTCCACGGCAGAAAGTTTACGTTTCTTGCATTGGTCAAGCTATACGCGCACACTCTAATAGCGGGAGTAAAAATTTTTTAGTCGTGTGCTTAACATTCAAATTTCGTACTGCCAACATGAGAAACACAAAAATATGATAGTTTTAAACCATAATTTTGCAATTATAACAACAAATAAACAATTTATGTTTTTACTTTTTTACTTTTTATGTTGTTTTAAGTGTTTAATGGTACTTTTATTTGTTATAAAGTAGTAATTTGTTAATTAAAATACAACGTTTTATTTTTACTGTATTGGCACCGCTGAATTCACGGCCTACTGTTATTTATTTATCAAGCTCTTCAAATGGAGATAGGTACATAAATACACATTTAATTTTTTCCCGTATTTTCGGCCGGGTTGTATTTTCGGCCGAGGTAGTAAGAAAAATAGTATACACTACACGGGCAGAAAGTGTGAGAGTCCTGAACTGCGCGCCATGATGCCCTCGGCTTCGCCTCGGGCATCATGGCGCGCAGTGCAGGAATCTCACACTTTCTGCCCTTGTAGTGTAATATACTATTGCTCTGCTCGGGAGTTAAACTACATGAGGTATAGAGACTTTAACTCATTCTCCGATTTAATCCTAACCAGCTCATGTTGACATTAAATCCTAACGAATAATATAAGGATTTAATCAGTTAAAGAGTGATACTTGAAAAAGGACAACTTTGGTGTTAAACAAATAGTACAACTAAATCTAAATGCTAAATCTACAATATTTATACTAATTATAAGACTGAAACGTAATCGGACACAGTTTTCTAAACGGTGGACCGTAATGGGTTTTCTGTAGATATCGAACTTTAGAGTAGATCTAAAATCCGAAATATTAAGTAAAATAACATTTTTTTTTATATTTGTTATATATACAATTTTATTTGGAACTTAAAATAAACAATTTATAAGAACTTTAACTTTCTGATAGTTGTTAAAATAACCAAGTTACTTTGTTTTTACAACTATCAGAGAGTTCAAGTGCCTATTGATTGTATATTTTTAACTTACTTTATTTTAACAACAATCAGAAAGTGCTTATAAATAGTTTATTTTTAAGTTATGCAATTATAATTAAATTGTCTTTCAAAAATAATATTTCTTGTGAATATTTCGAAACCCGAAGTTTAATTGTTTTTATGTTGTCACCATTTTAATCAGAAGGAAAAATGACACTAATTTGCATATTTAACCAACTTCAATAATAATGGAGTTAGCAATGGGGTGAGCAAATAAATTTGGTCATGGTGTATACATGGTGTCCCATAATTAGCGTGCAATAGTAGTTTAACAGCAAATTGTTCATACAAAAATAAGTAAAAAAGTTTACATAGGTCAAGAAATGCTTTCCAAGGGAGCTAAGGCCCCCGGAAGGGGAGCCCCTGAAGATGATTTTTATTTAATATCTACAAAACCGTTTAAGATAGAAAAGTGAAATTTTAAAAACTTATTAAACTTTTTATGGCCGATAAGATGTAATGATAAAAATTTAAAATATGTATCTGGGGAGGTAAGACAGATAGGGAGTGGGGTTAAAACCACCTAACTTTTTTGTACGTATCTTGTGCCAAGTTTGATGTCAGATTATTAAATATCAAAGTTTTACACAAAAAAAAAGATCCCCTTGTTAAACTTCGATATCGGACACCGTTTTCGCTTAAAATCGATTTAAAAATTACCCTAAAGATTTATAATAAAATCACAACTAGAGAAAAAGATTCAGCGTAGGCCATGGAACACGGCTGCCATGTTTAGGAAAAATTATTCAAGACAGGTGACAGTTGAACGTAATAAGTGACAGAGTGTTTAAAACTAATTAAGAAGATTTATTGGGTAATTATTTGTTAAAATTGGACACTTCGTGTACGGATTATGTAATGATCGTGCTCGGGCGGCTGAGCATGAATACCGACGACAATTTTCAAACAAAATAGCTCCTACACGTCAAATCTTTACTAGCATACATCAAAATTTAACAAAAAATGGCAACTATAGACGTGGGGCGACCGAATAGGAATTATGCAATTAAAAATGCCTTGAAGCATTTGAAGATGACTATCAAACAAGCATATGAACGGTATCTTTTCTGATCTGTGAATCAGTCGTAATGGGCCCTTAGCTTGGCCAGCCCGATCTCTCGACTTGAACCCAGTAGACTTTTATTTTTGGGGGCATCTAAATTCTTTGGTGTACGCCACTGAAGTCAATAAGCGCGAGGAGCTGCTGCAAAGAATAAATGTAGCTGCCCATACTATCAAAAGGGAGCTTCTCGATCTGAGTCGTCGGGCCCGACTATGCGTTGAGCAAAATGAGAACCATTCCGAACATTTGCTCAATTATAAACAATATCACAGAAATTACTTTTGTATTTTTTGTTAAAAATAAATGTTCAAAATGATCTTGTATTTTTTTCATTTATGGTGAAATGTTGACGTCTAGGACCTCTTTGGTTTTAAAATCGTCTTCGGTATTTATGCTCAGCCGCCAGAGCTTGACCATTACAGAATACAAAGTGCATTTTTGCTAGGTTTTGGTATGTGAACAGCACCGTGGCTATCTATTTAAATGCCATATGTTTTTATATAAACTGTAATTTTAGGTAGTTTATATAATAATTTACTATTTATTATTATTAACAAATACAGTGCTTGCAAATCCAAGTCCGACCGCACTGGAAAGGACGGCTGTTCAATACCCGCGTGAAAAGAACAAGGATAGAACGCCAAATAGAATTTGATTGGCCAGAGCCCCGGATGCGTGCGAATTGTAAGCGAGGTCAACTCTGGCAGCCAGTCTGGCTGCATTTAGACTAAATGATTTAGTGTCAAGCAAACTGCGTTAGAGTGTAGATGCACATTTTAATTTTCTTTTTAAATATTTTATACCCGAATCCTAAAAATAAAATTTTTTTGATTTTTTTCTTTGAGAACTAGGGCAACAGCAAAAATACTATTCTTAATAAAAAAGATTTCTCGTATAAAAAATAATTCTCAATAAAAATAACTATAAATAAAAATAAAACTCTAAAAATAAGTAATAAAAATAAATAAACTCAAAAATTAAATTAAATGTTCGAACAAGCCCCCATAGGCAGCCAAACAATAGCCTAACCTATTATAAAAATTCCCGTCGGAGCTGCATCGGAACTACACAATCGTGCGTGAGAAAATTATTAACGGTTCGTCGAATTGTTTCTCTGTTTGGTCTGGCCTCGAACATTCCCGCAAATAATCTTTGAATTTCTCGTTTAGAATTACCAGCAAAATGCCAGATTAAAATCTGAACTTTTTGTTCCAACGTGTACATTTTTTAATTAAATAATCTTTTTTACTAAAATTACTACCTCTTGCTGGCACCACTGCAGTTCTCGTTCTGATATCCTCGTGTCAAGCACGCTGTGAAGTGCGGGATGGGTATGCGTTGTCGTAGCCTGCCGGCTCTGGCCAATCAAATTCTATCTGGCGTTCTATCCTTGTTCTTTTCACGCGGGTATTGAACAGCCGTCCTTTCCAGTGCGGTCGGACTTGGATTTGCAAGCACTGTATACCTATTAACAAGACTTTTTAATAAATACCTACCCAGGTTGCAAAGTTTATTTTACTATTTAATTTGAAGTGGGGTAGTTTATATTGGTAAAGGTATGCTAGGGGCAA